TCTTGCATATACTTAGATCTATTGTATTTACTTTGATCTGTTAAGGCAACCTGTCTTTCTTCTTTCATTTAATGATAACATTTATTATAAATTAATTTAAATAAGGAGGGACAATTTGGACTTTTACAGCTTTCCTGAGAGATGTTGCATCACAGTTCTTAATTATAACACCAAAAATAATCTGGGAATTATTTGCTAACAGCACATTCCTTTTGAAACTGCCTACCTAATGCTTCTTAGAAAAAAACTATTTGCTTCCTAAAGCCACCTTGTGGGATGTTAGTTAAGAGTCCTGAATTTGACTCTGTCTGCATCTTGCATGGGTTAACCAGCTTGTATCAAAAAGACAGATAATTAGGGATTTTTTAATGCTATATGTTATATCCTGTGAGAGATGAAGGATTCTATCTGAGTGCTGTGTCACATAAGAATATCTGTGTTTTGTGGACTTTGGGGCACAATATTTCAAGAAAGACGAAGGTTATTGGACATAGTCCAGAGGACAGCAGGAAGAATGATCAGAGGTGTAGAAAACACAGCATATGAAAAAAGTCTTTCAATCTTCAGGTTTAGTTGTTTAGTCTGAAGAAGAAAAAACTGAAAGGAAATTCATAATAGCTTTCTAGTGTGTACAACTTTTCTGTAAAGGAGGAGAAAAACATTCCTCATGTCCACTGGGAGCAGAGCAAAAAGTAGTAGGTTTAAATTACAACAAAGGAGATTTAGGTGAGACATTACGGAAAAAAGCCCTTTCCACTGTAAGGATAGTTAAGCACAAGAATTGCCTAGGGAGGTTATGAAGAGGTTAGACAAACATCTGTCAGAAATGATTTAGGTATAGCTAATCCTGCTGTGAGATAAAGTGTTGGACTAAATAACCTTTTGAGGTCCCTTCTAGCACTATTTTCTGTGATTCTGTGATTAGGATACTGTACTCACATTGTCCTGCAGTAAGATGTTTCTGTGCAGGGATGATATCACTGTATTCTGCATTGCATGCTTTTCTTTGTTTTTGCTTTAAGCTGATGGGGAGAACAATGGTCTGATGTTTAAAGCACTTTAGCTTTATTCTTAGTACTTTAGGAGCTCTGAGCAGGGCATTAGGAGCTTGTTTTCAGCCAGACAGCCCTGTTCTGGTTTTGCACTAAACATGTGCCGATAAGGGTTATCGGTACACACCTCAGAATTAGCGGCTTTTACTATGTCTTTTAACTTGCAGTCAAACACTTATATGGGTGGATGCTCAGTTTCTGCTTATAAGCGAAATGCAAACAGAAAAAAAAATAGCCATGAAAAGAAATGTATCATAGCTTCCCCGTTAGTAAAACCAAAATAAAACCAGGCATGTTCTAAAGCTGAATATAACACAAGTTGTGAAACATCCTGGAACTGACAGATGGAGAATGATATTAAAGTGCCAGATATTATCATTATTACCTCATCAGAGAGACCATTGAAGGCGTCAGTTTAAGACTGTCCTTATCCTCTGTAACACTCAAACTCTTTAACTTTGTTCTTCCATTTGGCATTCTGCCACCCAGCAGGATTTGTATTCAGCTTTGCATTCGGCAGGAGTGTGTTCGCAATATTGCTTCTGCATACTGAATATGGCTCCAGCACAGCTACACATTGGTGGGTTTTGTAAAACTCCATCTGGAGGAACAAGGAATAGGAAGCTTCTGATTTCGAAGTAGTTTAAAGAAATTGGTCATACTCTGCCTGTAATGTTGACAGAGAGTGTGTCTGATTAGTGCCACTGTTCCTGCAGAGACGAGGTTGTCACAGTGTTTGAAACAGGGGTGTACTGTCACACCACGGCAGTGACCCAAGTGTGTGGTTTTCATGGGTGGGACCATTCTTGAACCCAACAGGGAAGGTGGGACAGTTCTTGGTTTGTTGATCTTTTAGGAACCTGAAGGTGTAATCTCACAGCTTTTCACAGTTATGTGGTTAGCTGCCTGTTCTTACTCAAGGAATAAGCAGTTTCCATTTTCTTGGAGAATTTCATTTTTTCACTAGGAAGGGGCAGGATGGGGGAAGGCAGGCTCTGCAATGTATGGCAGAGAGGTGAGCCAAAAACCTCATCTACAGATGTGGATCCTCCTTGCTGAGGGCCACAGCTCTATGCAATGGACTTGCACTGGAGTGTCCTCTGCAGGCAGGTCCTTTAGATGAGGGTTTCTGGCTTAGCATCTGAAAGGGAACATGTACTGTTAAACAAACTTACTTGCTGCTTACACCTGGTTTTGTAAACGTAGCCTGGTATTCACCTGATTTAAAAATTCGGAAGACAAGCTGAATTCATGTGAAAAGAAAAATACTGGGTTTTTTTCTACTCCATCACCTCATTCTCAGTCCTCAGAATTTCACTACTGAAGAGTTCTCTTGCAAATATATATGTGTATATATATATATATATATACACACACACGTTTTGTATGGGGATACATCCAGTACCATCCAGTTGGTGTCATGTTATCTGAAAACACAGTGTATGTTCAGTGCCGGAGCTAAAAGTGAATCACAGACTGTTTAAAAATACATGTTGTTAAAGACGACAAACACAGAATGTTCTGCAGTATCTATCTGATAATATTTGAAGTTCATATGAAGAATTTTTAATAAAAGAGAGAGCATTTGAGTAATAGCAATTGTATTATATTTTACTTGGGGAAAAGTAATTAAAATTATAACCTTTGCCCTGATTTCAGAGGTAGATACTTTGCAAGTTCATTCAAAATAAGAGTTGTTAGGAGTTTCAAATAGTGCTTGTTTCCTTTCTAGAGTTCATAAAATCATTAGGATGAGTATTCTTATTAAAAAGCGGTCTTGCTTCTCCAGCCTTTTGTGAGGGGGCTTATTCCCAGCCCTGATCCGGCACCACGAGGTGCTGCCCCACGAAAACCCAAGGCGTTTGCAAGCGGGGCAGCGTGGGCTTGGCCCCCTGCAGGGTGGTGGGCTCCCCGGGGAGGGCACACACCCACGCTGAGGGTCAAGCACTGCAGACAGGGTGAAGGGAGGGCTTTTGGGAGGGTTTTTGCCTCGCTCTCCCCAGCATGTGAGGGACCAGGTGGGTTTCCATCCCCTGCCCACTCGCCCTGCACTGGCCAAGAGGGCCCAGGACAGCCCATGCTCCCGCTGCCCATTCCCTATCTGCTGCCCAGCCCAACAGCTGGATCTGGAGTAAAACGTCCAAGCAGCAGTTACAGCTTCATGGGCACAACTGTTTTGATACGGGTTGTCTGCTAGAGGCAGAGGTAATGATAGCTTTCAAGCTAATATGTTTGGCGAGGAGGGGAGCTGATACTGGAGGGAAGGGAACAAGAAGTCAGTAGCAATCTTTAAAAATATAAATGTCTGCCAGGATTCAAATTCCAGCTTTCAATTGATTTCATACAGTGCACTGTCTCTGCTCCTCTTCTCTGGTGCTTTAGTAATCATTAAATGAACTTGAAAGTGTTTGTGTCAATAACCCTTTTTTACCAAAAGCTATTAATTTCTAAAGCAATATAGATATAGGTATAATTGTGATGTCACATTGTCAGAAGCCATTTCAAATATTTTCAAAGACACACGTACATGTAAAGTGCTAAGTATGCCATAACTAATGGTATTATTACTGCCAACCAGTCAGCTTTACAAAAATCAATCCCCAAGCTCATAAAGTATCTCCCTAAAATTGATAAATTTTTACACTATCAATAATAAAAGAAAAGGCGAAGTTACAGGTTTATCTTTTCTTTTTCTGTGTGTTACTGGTTGAAAGGTATCTTACAGATTGCTGTGATATATAGGAGTGTGTGTATGAGAAAGAGAGGTTATAGAAGTCACAAGCTATAAGAAGTTTAAAAAAAAAATCTGAGTGATCTTTAGACAATTCAGATGACATGTCTAACAAAGACTGTCAGTAGAATAAATGCAGTTATGTTAATATATTGAACCATTAACACATGTCCTTATCGTAATGGAGCTTACACAATGGTAGTTCCTGTCAGATTCCACTTGATACGTATGGCATGTTTGTCTGATGCACGGAAAGGCAACTATATCTATTTCATTTCAGCTCTGAATTGACACTTCAATTTTAAATCACCCACAGAACACCTTAGCTTAAATCTGAGCTTCTCCCTGATACTCTTTGCTATTTGTCGTGTTTCCGTATGAGTATACTGAAAAGATGTTACAGGCAATCTGCTGTAGTGTGTGTGTATAGTACATCTGACCTCCGGACAAGAAAGGAGTTTCATCCTCCAGTGCTTTTAATTCTTATCCTTGCAGAGACTGAATTTGTTGCTTGCATTAAAATAGTATGTCTCGTTAATGCTAAGAAGCGGTGACCCACATAGCACAATGGATTCATTTGTCAATCCTGTGACTTCCGAGCTTTCCGTTCATATATGTCTTAGCGGCAAATCAACTCAGAAATCATTTAATCAGTCTATCAATGCATCCTTCTTGTCAGTCATCTGAGTCCTGAAAATTCCAGTATCTCATTGAGCAGCACCAGGAAAAATAGATTTGGACCTAATACTAGATATTCAAACTCTGAAAACTGCAGCTCCCAAATTCACAGCTCACACACACAAAAATCCTAAGAAGAAAAGTAGGATCTGGAAATTGTCTTGAATTTTGAGGATATTCGTGTTCTGATCTGGTTCTAAACTTCAGAGTGCAAACCTGTCCCTGTTTGTTAGCATTTCTGAAATACTCCACACGCAGTTACAGAAAGCAGTGCCCTTTTGTTCCCCCTATAAAGAAACAAGCTTTCATTGCTTTTTGCTGTTCCCATGGGCTGAGGCTAGAGCCTGAATAGTTTATAACAGTCAGTGTTATGCAAATGTCAATCATATCCTTACTCTGTTTATTTCCAGTATTTACATGTTTATTTAAGTACTTGCCATTTCTCTTAAGCCTTATGTAGCCAATCAGGCCACCAGAGGTCTAAAGGAACAGAACACTTTATTAGCGATATACTTAATACAGTTTTTTTCCTCTTGTAGATGCAAGATTTACGGAATACAGAAGGAGCCCAGTATAGTTCCCATCCTCAGATGGCAACCATGAGGCCAAGGGTTCAACCTGCAGATATTAGGCAGCCAGGAATGATGCAGCACGGGCAGCTGACTACTATTAACCAGTCCCAGCTCAGTGCACAGCTTGGTTTGAATATGGGTGGAAACAATGTTCCTCACAACTCGCCCTCTCCACCTGGAAGCAAATCTGCAACTCCTTCACCATCCAGTTCAGTCCATGAAGATGAAGGAGAAGATAGCTCTAAGGTAGGCTTAGATGTTAGGATTAATATGTAAATGGTGGATATTTTTAGGACCTGCTAAATGAATCGTATGGCCACAGTTATTAAGGTGATACTTTATACATTGTTGGTAGTTGACTGAAGTGAATAAAAGGTTATGAATACAGAACTTATAGTTTCCAGTCAATTCTTCAGGCCACTTGAGTAAATGACATCATTCCTGTTCGTGAGAGCAAACTGGAATCCTGTAAAACACTAAAAGGATAGCCATTCCTTTAGGACTTTAATATAAAGGTTGAGTTTTCTCACTTGCATAGAAGGGATGTTTGTTCCCAGTTAAAGATCAAGTTACTGCTATAAAAAGTATGAACAGTCTGTACAATATGCTAGTCTTTGCTACTTGGTCACAGGATGAGTAAACAGAACATCATAGCAACCAGAACAGAAAGATCCTCTATGAACTTTAAAAATCTTACCTTGAAAATCTTGAAGACCCATTATGCATTTATATCTGGGAGGTGTTGACACCCCAGCATGACATATTTAAGCTTCATTTTAGTGTCAGTACAGGCATGAAGAAATAATAGTAATTTAAATAATAAACAAGACATTTATTTTAAGGATAAATGTCAATTTATATAGTAGGTTTTGCATGCAAAAACCTCCCAAACCTCCGCAAATCCTGAAAACTTCCCCAAAAATACACAAGTATATTATCTTAATTTTGCAGACGCAAAAGCTAAGACACAAAAAGATTGGGACTTAGCACAAAGTCATCCCATAAACCAGGAATAGAACATATTGAAATTGAGAACCTCTTTAGCTCTATTTTATGGTCACTACAAAATAGCAGTCCTGTTACAGCAGTCCTGTAGTGTAGTGAAGATGTTGTACCATGGCCATATCTTGTGGGGAAAAGTTGCAGACTTGGAAGAATGTGAAGAAAACATTGTGAGTCACTGAGGAGGTATAATCCAGTCAAGAAATGTAAGTCTGATTTGTTTTCAAATTATATTGTTTTTCATGCCTCAAGCTATAAAATAATCATGTAATTGGAGACATATGTTTTACTGCATTTTGAATAAATTCTGATTCAAAAGTTTTATTTCAGGACTTTCCCCTGATTTCACAAACTTTAGGTTTTAAAAATTACTGAATAATTCATAGACTTTAAATGAGCACTTCCTTACTGAGGTAGACTTTAGAATACAGCTATGTAAAAATAATTCCAGGCAGCCTTTAATTTTTCAGAATAATTTATTTGCTGCTCCTGTTGCTTTGCTAATATTTTTACATATATTGGTGGGAACATGCCAGATGCTCTAAACTTCTGGAGAAAACATCCACTCAAATAATTAAGATATCCTTTCTGCTTCTATCAAATATTTCAGTTATTTAACCCATATTTTTCATGTACATACATTTTCACTGCAACACTTTGTGCTAGCAAAAGTGTAGGGTTGTGGTTTCATGCAGACAGTACTCATCTGAAGCTAATGTTTTCAATAAGGAAATACTAAGCACTGCAGACCAAGTAAAACTTGGTCCTTTGTGGAAGCCAGCTTATATAGTGTTCAACTTTTTAACAAGCCATGCTATTTTGGAAGACTCTCTTTAAAATTCTCTTATGCTCAGTCTAAGCAGAAAAAGATGAGAAAAGGCACAATACACAACACAAAATTAAGAAAAATACTTCAGTATGCTGAAGTTGATATGTTGCCTTAAAATTCTTCGATAATTCTAATTTCTTTGCTAAAACAAGTGTTTTAAAGGATATTAAACTTGGTTAATAATGATAGAGGGCTTAAATTAGTCTCCAACTAGTAGGGATCAATATGCAAGCTTAATGGGGGCAGATTATGCCATACCTGTCTTCTGTGGGATTTCTTAGGTCTTCCTGAAAACGCCTGAAGTTGGCCACCATCGGAGACAGGCAGTGGGCTGGCACGCCTGATCCAATGCAATGGTTCTGCTGTAGTTCCCTCCGTAAAAGACAAGAAGGTTTGAATAATCAGCGTAAGAAGCTAGTGTATTGTTGTAGTTTGCAATTTAAACCCCTCCGCTGTGTATCTTTCTGTCATGCTGCTCTTCCTCGAAGCTGCCAATGAATGGATATGGATACTTAGAATAAACCAGCTTTCTGTGGGGATCCTTTTCCCCAGCCACAACAGTATTAAATTTTCTCAGAGCTGCTTTGGAGGCTTCTTTTGACTCCAAAAATCCTCCTCCCCGTGAAAGAAGGCACTGGATGGGGACAGCAAGAGACAGAGCAGTCATTCTGTCTCTTGTGAGAACCTCTTTTACCTGACTATAACTTTGCTAAATTTGGAGTTTTCTCTTTGTTTTATAAACTGTCCTGTAGATGTGTGATATTACTTAGTAGATCAGGGCCAGAGCTCATTATTCAGTCCTTCAGTGGAAGTGCATGTGTTGCAGTCGTGTAGTAGCTGCTGGAGCTCACCACATTTGAGCAGCTTCATGAAGTCAGTAAGATGTTCCTGCCGTGAGGACTGTGTAAAAAACAACTGAATTCACCATATCATTAATAGTAACAGTGACGTTCTCCCTATTTAACCAGCAGGAGAATATGTTTGCCTATATACCGACATTGATCAAAAAGACAAAGTACATTTTCAAATGGAAAATCACCTCAGTGTCAGATGACCTCCCTTAGGCCCTTAGATGACCAGCTGAACGCCCAGCCTTACATGTGAAAGAGAAGCCACTGGTCCTCTGACAGCAGATTTGGTAGAGAAATCCCTAACAACTATACCTATTTCTATCCAGAGAAAAAAAAATACAGAAATCTCAGTGTCCTGTTCATGTTTGCAGGAGTTTATAGAAAGAGGGTGACAGAAGGTATGAACAAATACGTACATTATATACATTTGGACTAGAAGTATAATTGTATCCTTAGCGAACCACTGATTTCCATGCATGGAGGAAATGACCGTTTCAGCTTAACATACATATTCCAAATGCCAGTAATAAGGAAACTTTACAAACTGATCTAATTGTTCATGTACTGAACTTCTTGGATGTTCATTCTATGGTAAATATTCAAATTGTTTAAGCCTTATCCAACATACACAGAACTAATGGCAGCAGCTGCTAAATATTGTTTGGCAATACTCATTCTCATAAAGGCTCTTTCATATAGGTCTTTTGGACTTTAAATGTCATATATTCCCTTACACAAAAAAGGGAAAGGAGCTGCATTTTAGAGGGCTCAGTTGCCCTACACGCTGTTGCTCTAAAAGCAAGACAGCTGAGGTTGCTTGACCATAAGATCAGTGGCAACAGTAGCATAAATATAAGGCTATGTATATACAGTCAGAAAGCTGCTAGATCCATGGAAATACGAAATGTAGTCTCAGACCAAGGATATTGTTTCTGCAAGTGGTGTAGATCCCTAAGTCTCCTTAATTCTTCTAAATCTAATATGTGGGACTATAGTTAGAAGAAGAAAAAAGGGAGAACTTAAAAATCAATAGTTGTAAGTAACTATAAAAACATTCTAAACAAAATGCCCACTTACCACATGCTTTATTCTGACCACCTCAACATTGGAATATTACATTTATGTAATTCTTGCCATAATTCATACTGTTGGATCGTTAAGCATGTATTCAGTTATTGCCAAGCATAATTGTGAGCTGCTGGAAGCATTACTGGTTTGCAAATATGTATTTCTTCATAGATGGATAACAGGGTTTTCTTCCATGCTCATTTGAATATCACTTATGAGAGAATTTCAAATAATGTATTTTAGAGGGAAGATAGTGAGAGGACTGCAAGTAGCAAGAATTAACTAACAGAAACACGATTGTTAAAGAACTGCTGCAGCATATTCTCTTTATGTGGTAGAGGTTTTACAATATTTACTTTATATGATAAGAGTTATAAGTAGAATTCTATGTTGTCTGTTCAGCCTATTATGCAGATGGTGCTTGATTAAAATCTATTTTAAACTACAGCGATTACTGCAAGATAGTGTGCATAAAACAGCTCTCCTAGCTCCATTAAAGGCTTTGGTACTATTGCAGTTTATTTTAAATATGCTTATAGACATTTTCCAGCTTCTCAAGGGACATTTAGATATCAACGATGTGCCTTACTTGATAGTTTTAAATCCTACACTAGATATTTTTGTGATCTATTATGTGTGCAACATGGTTAATGTACACTTTTTTAAAGTGAAAGATTATTGCTTTCTTGTGATAAATAAGTTAAATACATCACCATAATTAAGCAATAAGCCATGACAGGAGGTGGATTACCATGAGCTAACTACACCTCCAGGGATTTTAAGGCACAAGTCTATGCCTAGCAGAATATATATGGTTTTTATTTTATTTCCCATCTGTCTCTGCTTTGGTGGTTAGAATTGGAGTCTATGAAGCTGATAGACTGATGGGAGCATAAGGCAGGCCATCATCTCAGCCATTTGCAAGGTTATTAGTACTGGAATTCTGGTATTCTTTTTATTTCGTTATTTTCATATAAGACAAACAGAATTTCCCCTGTGAGTACTCTCTTTTTAACAGTGGGTTTTTGAAGTCTCTTGATCATTCAGGTTGGAAAATAAGATTTTAGAGCTGTTCTCAGAACAGCTTACCAGAAGACTTCTTACACGAGTTTCTGCAGCATATCACCTAGATAAGGGTAGCTTAAGTAATGTGCTATCCTAATATACAGAGACCTTTAAAGCACATTGGTCCGAGAACACTCTGAAAAGAGGAAACTTTATCAAATAATAGAGGTAAAATTTTAACTATAGCCCCAATCGTTGTCAAGCCTCCTTGCTCATGGAGTTTGTACAGAACTGTCTGAAGAGTTTAGACTGATATTGCCAAATTAACTAGGGAGCCCTAGTTAATTACCATTTAGCTGGTAGTTTTGTGTACCCTGTAGAATGAAATAATAGCAAGAGAATAAAAGCTGAATAACTTAATAATGGATAGCACACTGCTTCTGTTTTTCCATATTTTCCAAAATGCTGCCAATAGGCTCCATGGACATTAACCTTGTATTAAAGATGCATCTATTGTAACATAATGCTCAGGAAACAAGCAGCTTCATTTCCAAATTGTGGTCATCACTTTATTGCTGTGCTTAGTAAACCACAGAGATCCAGGTTGTTCACTGTAGTCACCTGGGCCCTGTTTGACACCACACAGTGATGTATAAAAAAGTTTTTAAAAAATGAAGTAAATTAAAAGGTTTTTTGCCCAAAATGAGAATTTCTATCCATTTTCCTCATGCAGTTCTGATGATTTGAACACCTGTGTTCTCCTGTGTCACTTGATATGCATTACTAAAAAATAATATAGGATGTGATAAAAAATACAAGGATGTGATAAAAGTCATACCTAGTAGATCCTTAGCCTAGAGCATACCTTTCATGCTCTTGATCTTCTCATACTTCAAAACACTTATGATGCACAGTACTCTGGCCATGCCAACAAGAGAAAAAAGCCTTTGAACCCTTTGGTAGGATCACACGTCATTGCTACAAGGTATAGTGAATTAAGCGATCACATCAAGAGAAGCTGATTTGCCATGGAGCTCCAGTCTGTTGAAGAATCAGGACAGTGTCCCTTTTTGTGCTTGTAAGTCACCTAAGAAAGCAGGGTGCTTTGGTGATCAGGGTCTCTGAGCTAGTGGCAAAGCATAGTTGCATTTAACAAATTTGCACAAATGTTCACATGCATTTTTTGTCAGGTGGTACACAAATAATGCACATGCACTTCTCTTTATATACCATTCCTCTTTCACCCCTTTTCTCAAACCATCATGAATTTGCTTTTACATGAGCAGAGGAAAAGACTATGCAGCTAAATCCAGACGGATCAGAACTGATCCTCTAAAGGGGTCCAAACTGTCTGTACTGGTAAAACTTTCTTTCTTCAGATTTTCATTAGAAGGTGTGCAGGGGAATGTCTATAACTTGGACCGTTTTATTCACAATCAAATTATCTTCAAAATCCCTGGAAGGTGTACCACCAGTTGCAGTAGAAATTGGTTTGAACACTAGTCTGGCGTATTTCTGGG